CAGCTTGCTGCATTATAAGTATCACTTCCCTGTCAAATTAGTGGTTCATGCTTATTTGAATCTGAACATAACAGGCCAATTCTATCACACCTTGCTAGGCTTGAACTTCCATCCAATCAGAGCATTCCAAATGAACATGATTCTCCACAAAACTAGAGGGCGCTCTGACCAAAAAATTGCCATGATCTAAATAAAAAGAACTGATATATATATATATATATATATATATATATATAAAGTTAAATATAATGTTGTTGCGTTAAATTTAGGGGAGGTGTCGCTGCCTTATTTCCATACATAATTTAATATATTGTGCCAAAGGGATAGACATTTTGATGTTGTTTAATAATATTTGAATTTGTTTTCATTTTCAAATTGTGTACAGTGTGGTACTTTTTTCTCTGCTGTTTCAAATATGCTTTTCCTTTGTGTCTTGAATCTTGAACATGTTATTATGAAATGATATTCAATTTCAATCTGTTTTTTGGTCTCTTTTCCACTGCAGTGTGAGTATGTCTGCCTGTTTCTATTTTGAGGCAATGGTTCCCCAATCTGAATTTTGTCAAAATTTGTCGCAGTTCAATATTTTTGAGTTAGGTAGCTATTTAATTTAAACTCTGTTTTAAATATTCTATATGTTCTAAGTTTATTTTTTGAGTGAGAATTTGGTCTGGAGTCTTTATGAATTTCCTTTTTCCAAAAAAGTGAAATGATTTTTTTCATTTCATCATTGATGTTTTGTAATTTGTGTAGTGTTATTATTTCACCCTTGTTCATTAACGATAAGTTGTCTATATCTTTTAAATTTGATTCCATATTTTTAAACCATTTTCTTTTCAAGGTTTTTGTTGACTGTAAATGCTTTTTTAGTAGGGTGTTTTTCGAGTGCATTGCGCGATTGAAATATTTAATCACTTGCTTCTGAATAATTACATCTGTAGGGCATCTTCCTAAATAGGTGAAACCTGATACCAGTAACATTAGTAAAGATTTATCATCTTACTTACTCCACCAGTCACTAGCCTGAGGTTGCCTCACCTAGCCTCTTAAACTGGAGAAAATATTTAAAAAGATGTGTACATCTGACAAACCACAATGACGTTGACCTAAATTTGATAATGAAACTGTAGAACAGCCCCCTGCCCTGAACATGCGAATATTATATACCAGTAACATTTAACCTAGACTTGCTTGATAAAATGTCGTAGAAGTGATTGAAATTACTTTCTCACGAGCGTACTACACCTTATATTCACAAGTCACACAGTTTTAGAGCGTTTTCGGTAAGCATCGGCGTGGAACTTGAATGCGTAGAAATGCTCATAGCGTGGAACGCGCCGCAGCGATCCCGGCTGCGACGTTTCAGTGGCTGCTTTGCCGTATATATTTGTTTCATATAAAGAATACCCTAAACATCAAAACAGAGTATCTTACTTAATATTCATTTTGGCACGTTCGCTGTCTATTTTGGATGGCTAAAGCTCCTTTAAAATCTTGAAAGCAACCCCGAAACACTGAAGGGACTGTGCCCGAAAGCAACCACGGCCGGGGAAGCACCAGTGCAGCGACCGACAATTTGTTATGCACAGTATCGTTGTGCAGTAGTTTCAGTGACGTCATCCATGTGAAATACCCATGTAATATCCATTTGGCGGGCAATATACTATTTTCATTCAATCTCATGTGACCGAGTTTCAACCAATCATAGCAGGCGTAACAGAAGTGAGATGTGATATAAATAATAATAATACTGTCTCGGCTGATTGCGTTGAATGCTGGACGTCGAGACCGACGCCCGTCCTAAACTCAATATGGAGAAACTATGGAGCTAGAAAGAAGAAATCAACGGGGATCGATATTCCAAACAATCGAAATTATCAACGAAAGACGAGATATTTTTAGATATTCACAAACATACTGTCATGACAAACATATGTAAAATTAATTTTATTTTATTTTAGGCTTAGAAATATTTTCTTTCACTCAGTCCTTGCATGGAACTGCCATTTAGCTTCATGGTCCTTTAGCTTGTCTTGGGTAAAACAACAATAATTATACAAATCCTAAACACATTGCGAAGACTCAACAATCAGGTACAAAACGCATACAACCACGTCGTACTTGTGTTGAAATAAATTTTGTATTTCACGTCAGAATATATATTGTTTAAAATAAAATATTCAATTCCAGCCAAATCGAGGTCAAAGGGTCAGATTGCGTGCATATAATTATAGATAGTTAGTTAGTTAGTTAGTTAGTTAGTTAAAACAAAAAGTATTTGAAGTTCTATCGGCTGTTCAACACCTATGAAAACCAGAACGACAATTATAAGACAATGTGAACCTCGGAATTTTAAATGCAAGCGAGCGAGCGGACGGTGATATTTCTGGGTTTGCGCGGTCGAAAAAAAAAGCGGAAATTGTCCGGTCGAATTCAACAAGCGGTCGTGAAAGCGAGCAAAAAAAGCGGAAGCGGGCGGGAGGTTGGGCGAAATGAGTACGGTACGTTGATAGATTGACGAGGTCGTAAATTAAGTTTATACACAGACGAGGCTGACTTCAATATAGCCCCACCGTGAGGAAATGTTTGGTCACGTGATAGGATGGCGCCACCAGCGGCCATTTATTATGAAAGTGGGCTATTAAACCCCACAATATATATGCAAATTCTACAAGGGCTGATCGAGGCTGGGAATCTGTTACAAGTACTAATACGATTTATTATCGCCTAAAATTGTATTATTTTGCGCATTTTGCGAGAAAACTCCCCCATGAGGAACGTGCGCGTTCATTGCAACATGGCGCTTACGCTCGGTTTGTATCTTCCGCCATAGATGCTAAGTTTACCCGGAGAAGTATTGTATCAGCGACCAAATACCCTTGTTTGTCGTTTATCACCTGTAATTCTTTTAGCCCTTGTCGAAAGATTTTTTTTTAACATTACAAAATGAAACCTATACTCAATACACCACCTCCTCCACCGCTGCTGGGTAGGGAAATGCCAAATATGCACGCTTTCAGAACTACCTAATTTTGCCTGACGTGTTACATGAAGCTCAAAAAAAAGATAACAATCAATCCCCACAAAAAATCAAAAGCAATGTTTCAAAATACACAACGCTGGCTACGACTGTAATATTCACCATCATAAACACACCATAAGCTGTGCGAATCAATACTCAACATTTTGCCGTTGGTGGGGTAACATCAGAGCAGCCTCGTGGTGTGAAAATTTGCATATATATTATGGGGTTCAATAGTTGCATTGCGTATATGACCAGCGTGTCCGCATCATATCACATTCACTTGAACAGACAGCGCCGGCCTGCATTAAAACATCTATACCCTGAAACAGAGAGGTATGTTATATTCAAACTTTTAATAGCATGCATGGTAATTGGTATTAGTTCTTATCTGACCATATTCCACAAGGATTGTCAATTTATTATATACCAATTAGTGGCCTAATTAGTTGTATTAAGCTCCGGCAAAACGGTGGACGTTGCGACGAGGGTTTTGTATTGTTTACGCACTGCCAACCCTGGGAATGGAACTCACAAATCCGATTAGGGCCACAGACATTATTAATATGACGAAACAACGGTTGCGCAACTGTGTAATAACTGGGAGAATGCGATCGGATGCATTTTTAATGAAATCAATAGTTTGTATAAACTTGTCATACATAGTAATGGAACTGTCTGTACCATATGTTACGTACATTTCGTAAATATTATTCATATTTAAATTCGTTGCAAATAAAAACCTTTTTTTTCGCAAATAAGTAAGCCGATCAATGCACGTGTAAATATATGTATTGAGTACGGACGAAGAATGCTTGTAACTCGGCATATTCTGTGATGACATCGGTGATATCATTGGTGTGAAATACGTATTATTAGTCATGGTCGTAGTCAAGTGATGAAAAGTGTTCTAAATTAACCCCTTCAATCTGCAAAAAAGTTTTTTTTAGGTTATGATTAATGTATAATCAAATTTTAATTGATACATACAATAGACAATAACATACTACGAATCATTAGGCGCGATTACGTTAGATATCACGATACAGAGTTGGGACGGGGTCGACTAGTGCTAAAAAATAAACGCGATATCGGTCTTGGTTGGATGCCTGGATCCAACTGGGTGGGTCCATGTGGGGATTGACAACTATCCTGGGCGAGGGGACTATAAATCTATTAGTAATAGTCATCTGTTCATATGTAAAATCCCCAGTTTATATTCACATTCATACGTTAATAACATTTTCAGTTAGCCGACGCGTATGTAATTGCTACACCCTTTTTCCGTATTCCGTTTTCAGTATTGTAAGGTTTCGAAATGTTGCAGGGGGCGAGATCTGCTCGCCATCCCTCGCGCCGAAGGCGCGGCCTTACTAGGAGGTCCGAGGACCTGTTTCCCCTTAAAAAATTGAAATCTAGTCCCTTGCATTTTGAGGGGGCAAATTTTGCTGACACAAAGGGTTACAGCTTTTACGGATTTTAGGGGGCAAAGCCCCCCAACATTTTTTTCGAGGGGCGGCTGAATCCTTCACAATTAATGGCGTATGTTATAACTACAACTATACCCTGTCTCCTGAATGATTCTGTGACACTAGCATCAAATCACTACGTTGATTAAATTATTGTGCTAGCAATCCCTACTCTATAGTGAATTTGCTTCGCTACGTGAACAGTGCTAAATATAATACAAGAGGATGATTTATGCGTTGAAGAAAATCGTCTGTTTTGATGCAAATTGTAAGAATATGCTGGTTTCGACTTGACAACGCAATTTGGGGCTCAAACAAAAAAAACAAGTCGCTGACTCGTATACACATCAATTTTTGCCAAAAAAAAAACAGACACGTGATAAAAAGAAGTTGTAGTAGCCTGTACAATATTATTATACTGAAAATAATTTATTCAATATTTCATGGAAATAAAATAAAATAAAATAACACTTGTCGTGATATGATTTTCGTTTTTGCATAACATTGCGTCAACTTATTCCCAGTTTCTAGTAAGTCTCCGAGAGTCAAGTTTTTGACAAAATGTGCAGAGGTGTATGACGAGTTTACATAATAGTAATACCGTGGGTTGCAAAGCGTTTCAGGGGAGACAAAACACATGTCACAACCGCAAATCACTCTTTTGTTAGCACGGTTAGCACCTCGTCTGAAAAGGTATACAAAAGTATGTCGCCAAAATGGGTTCGCTTTTTATTTATTTTTTGTACAGGGGTTCAGTACCGGGGTCAACGATTCCAATAGTCTGTATTAGGAGTGGTCCACTGATTAAAATAAACTATTGGAAATCAAGAAATAAACGTTCTTAAACTATTAACAATCATTTTTTTCTATATCTATGCATATTCACAGCCACCCATTGTTAACATTATCTATAAGAACATCATTGGGGAGAAGTTTTCAATTGAAAAGGCTTTGAATGGTTTTAAAAGGGGTCAGCTGCAGAGGTCTAGTTTTTCAGAATATAAGATAAAGCCCTCGTGTCAGCGTGTCTGTCATATCGTCCAGTGTGTGAACTCAGATTTCCACCCCAGCCATTGTTTATTTTTAGCGCTGTAAATTTCCGTCAGTGTTTCACCTTTGGTGTCACGTGATCTGTATGAAGATCATAGATAATTTATGGGAACCTATGTGTAAACAAGACCTAGACAAATAAATTTAGAATTTGACTTGAGAAGACTTGTCAGACTCGCAAACAGACCATGTAATATACAAAGAGTCCTGCAGTTGACCGTTAAGATTGGTCGATAAACACTAAGTGTTTTAACGTCAAAGCCGTGACGTGTTCTGGACTACTCTCGATTGAGGCGGTACTCCTCAAATTACTCTAATTCAGAGGGTCAACCGTATTTTGCCACAGTTACCTTGGGGTGTCACATATTTGTCCACGGCCTCGTGAATAAGCCTCCTTTTTCTTGTTATTAAAACTGAGCTGCTTCTGTTTTGAATTGACCCTAGTAAAGAACGTGCTGAGTTTCCCTAACTTGAAGTAGAAAGATTACTAGGTTAGCTTTAAAATACAGCTAGTATTACCGATTTGTCAGTTCATTGAAAAAGTAATTGTTGAAGAAAAATCTAAGCTGTAAAATCCGTGTTACTTTTTTGAATAAAAAACAAACAAAATATCTAACGAAGTTAAATATTCCATTTAATTAATTTCTCGAAAAATCATCACCCGTGACTCTGATATTTTGTAGTGATGCAAGTTGTTGGACCTTTGCAACAACAATTTCTCAGGAGAGAATTGTTAGACAATTTACTATTGAATAAAGCTCTGCATAAATTTTGTTTTTATTGCGTCATGGCACATTTGAGAACAGATATGCACCAGGCCCTTAACTTACGAAAATACTCTGGTAGACTCTATGGGGACTGTTATACAATAGCTATATGACACGGCATTTACCTCCTTTTGTGCTGTATGTAAGTTTTATTCATATGTTATGCGGTGTGTCCTGCAGCTGCGTTTGTACGAGTGAAGACACGTTGGTGACTAGAAGGTATCAAAAAAGTCACCGACAGTGCACGTCGCGCCCAGGTCAAAACTCGTACCCGTGATTTCGTGATTAGAAAAGCGCATTTAACGATGTTTATCAACACACATGTCGCACTTGCGCGGCGCGAAGGCCACCGTCTTTTAAATGTTTTCGAGTACATGCATTAAAAGAGCAACAAATCATTTTCTGAAATGAAACAAAAAGGAAACAAAACATTTCCCCACCCTGCCATATGTGGCGTACTTTACCGGTATGCAAATTGGAAAATAAAATGCGTAAAATGCCGCAGGCTTCAAACAGAAAATTGTTTTGGCCTAAGAGAGCAAATCAAACCAGTGGCTTTTGTGTGCAATATATTAAAAACAACTTTGTTGCAACTACAAACAACTGAGAAAAAAAGAATGAAGATTCTCCCTGAAATGACACGTTCTGAGTCTTGGTGTCAAAAAAACATATTTATTTATTTGTTGATATCGAAGTGAAAATACGTTTGAATAAGCAGTGTTTTTTTTTTCAAAAGAATGGCCGTGGCAAAAATTCATTTTTCAATGACGTAATTTGCATATTTACAAGCACTTTGGTTGAGTTGTGCAAATGCCGACTATGTCGACCTTTTTTTACATACCACACAATAGACGGCAGAAGGTTAAGACGGTATGTCATGCAGCTATATTGTGTAATAGTGCTCATAAAATACAATCGTAGAAATTAGAGATTGGAATGTGTCTTTTTTCCCATATATGGTCAGGTTTTTGCGCCTGTGTAATAACGTATATAGCTTTTGTTAGTGAAGAGCGCCCTCGTTTATGAGGTGTTGAAAAATAATTGTTATCATAGCACAACACCGCCCCCCCCCCCCCAACAGGGTAATGTAGCTTTCTTTGAGTTTGAAATTGACGTGCAATTTTCTAGTGTGGCAATAGTAATTCTAACCGATGTCGTATATCTATTACATTTCTGCATTTATTTCTAGCAATCCGCATATGTTTCGATCGGATGTTATTTGCCACAGTGAGACTTGAAACGCGGCTATGAGGGCTCACACATATTACGTCAGCTGTAGGACTTGTGTGTGGAGATTGGTTTGTGGAATCCCCTGTGAGCTAGAAAAAATATCGATTAGACACTACGGCATCTTCGCTAGCCATGGTCTAAGTTTATTCGGCCAAGCCTCTAAACAGACCTTGGCAAAACGACCATCAAATAAGTATGCGTATTCTAACAGCGCCCCCATTAGTCAGTTGCGGCTAATCATTGTTCAATCAGTTTGCGTGTTACAAATCTCTCTTTGGTGTTTCATTTTAAACAAAGTGGCGGCGGCCATGAATCGTGATATTTGTGCTAATAAAATTGCGGTGTTTTTGCCTTCAAGCCTCATCAGGTACAGGCAATCGACGCAGTTTTGTGTGGGAAGGATGTTTTCATAGCGACAAAAACAGGAAGTGGAATTTTGTTCTATAATTTGGTACGTCCAAGCTGATTGGGCGCCTTGTTTCGAGGCGCGTCCAATCAGATCTCACTGCTTATGATACGCAATTAGAGGCCTCTAGGTCGAAGACACGGGACCGTGCGATTCGGACCATGACACTACGGTTGTTTTTTTTGTTTTTTTTTGTTGGTATAAACGCGGGGTTTGCCTTCGGGTAACATAAGCGATCCGCTAGTAAAAGGGATTATATAAATCTGAAATTTGTATATCACGTACTTTTACAATCTCTAGCAATTGTGTTACTTTTGTCGCTATGTTGGATTTTTCCCAAAAAATACCCATGTGAAACGCCAAAGTCATTTTCGTTCGCTCAAGCGACATAAAATTTAGGTCAAAAATTTGTGT